CTCGAGCCAGATTTAAATATTTGAGCTCAAGCCAAATCTTATGTAACTCGGCTTGACTTGGCTCATTAGGAGCTTTATGTGTATCATAAGGTAGTGATACTGAAACTTGAATTGTTAATTATCAGACAATAGAATAATCGGATAATTTTTTATCAGTTTAATAATGCCCATTTTTTTTTTCATTGTAATAATCGGCAAACTTTCAATAAGGACAAAAAAAGTGGACAGGTATTTTTTGTGGATATAGATGATCATAGAATTTAATTAACATTATAGAAAGGATGAGACTTAAGTTCCTATAAGTAACAATAGATAAAAGTCAGTTAATGTAAAACACGTTACTTCCGGAGTATTAATAGTTGCTTCCGTATTTCCTCCTACTGTCGCACCGGGTAGCGTTAGAATTAATCTAATTAATTCCAATTTCATTATTTTTTTTTTGCATTTATCAGCAAGATTTTGTGGTTCCACAGCATACAAAGGGTCAACTACATAGTAAAATAAATACAATATTCCTCTCAGGCAATATTTCTCCGCTCAGTTATGGACACTACTCCTGCAAAAAATATGTTAATTTGTCAGCCAGCTCACGAAACAGTGAATTGTATATTGTTTTTTCTTTCTTTCTCGTAATTGCATAATATTTATTTCTAATCCCAACTGTCCTATAGTTGCAATCGAAACTATTAAAACATTCGACCAAAGTGACCTTCGTATTCGTGATGGTATGATATTGACGGGTTTCGTACTTTTAATAATGGCAACTTTGACCTATTGGGGTGATAGAAAATCCAGATGTGAGGTTTCACGCGCAAGAATATATGTTGCTCTTTATGCCTTTTGCACAGCGCTTTTCGCCTTTATCCGCGCAATAATTGATACAAACAAGGTGCTTTTGATTGGTGCTGCTACACACAACACTTTCGAAAGGGGTTTATTTGGAGTATTTTCCCATGACGAGAAGAATGCCAGAATTTTTTTTTTTTCATACTCAATCGCCTGGATATGATAAGCTCGCTCATTCAGTTCATTCAACTTAGACTTTTGAACTCATAACTAACTCTTCTTTGAGATAGGTTTGTGGCAACTGTGACGATCTATCTGCCCAAGCTCATCTATTCTTTTCTTTTTGAACAATCTTTCGGTCTCTAGTGCGATTACTTCATGCTCTTCATCTATGCATATAGACTCTACTATTCATCTGATAATAGTCCTGGTCACGATATCTTTAAATATGGCTTGTACGCCTCCATTTGGTACTTTGGGCAAATCTACACTCTAATTGGCTTAGGCCTTGGTATTCACGAATGGGTTGCACTCGCATTTGAATGGATGTTGATATTTAGTACAGTGCCAACATTTTATTTCAATCGCATTGTTGTCTTGAAATGGAAAGAAATGATTCACAATGTGGAACACCCTGAAACAAAGGTTTCGCAACTGATAACCTCAGATCCGAACGAAGAAGGTAGAAGTGAAAAAGACTCATTACTTGATTCCCCCGAAAAAATTCAACAGGATGAAGATCTTTGTGTGAATATCTCAAATTCTCACAAGTACTACATTCTTGGCATCTGTCTCGTATTATCCTGGATTACAATTTTTGGCCCCCTCATTATACCTGAATGTTTGGCTCAACTTGATGCTGTTAAACCTACTCTTCCATTAGGCCCAACCATCCTGTCGTTCCCTGAGATTCCGTCCACTGCGGTCACTGGTATGACCATCATCAATACTGCACCCAATAATAAAAAAGCATTACTCGAAGAACTGCAACAAGTAATCATTCCGGTCTGAAAAGAAGCAAGATATATATCTTACAATTTATTCGAGAACCTTCTAAAACCTGGTCAAATTGCTTTCATTGAAACGTGAGCCTCTTTAGCAGCTTTGCAAATCCATTTAGAATCCCCTAACGTCAAGGCAATTTTTGACCAACCTTATTACAATTCGCTTGTAGAGAGCATGCAATTGATCGGACCTTTCCAAGTTGTAAAACCTGGCTTCCTTGTCTCTGGACTATTGACTATGGTATTCCAGTTTACCGTTAATTGTCCAATTGATTATGTTTGGCCTAAGATCAGCAACTTCTCTGATTCGACTTTCGTGTTGGGCGTAAAAAAAACAAACTTGGAGGCTCCTGACGTCAAAGTGATGGTCCTCGAAAACGATCATTTAGTCAAGATGAGATTATTAAAGATGGATAATGACAACCACCAATGGATTCAGCAAATGGTCTCTGGATTACCCTTCAAGGCATACACTGTCACGGTTACCTTGACTCCTGGAAAGACGGGTCTTCAGAATATGACCTTGTCGCATTATTTAGCAGAATTTATAAGTTCAGATGAAATGAGCAACATCGAAGCTAGGAACTTCTTGTAGTCAGATTTCTATCATAATAGGATTCCATATGTGAAAACGTTATTTAATTGTAACGAAAAAGAATAGAAATATAGCTACATGTCATATGGAGTCTGCCATGAAATGACCCTCTGATACTATGTAAATCTGTCAGAGTCATTTCATGGCAAAGACCCTATATGATTTGTTGTGTATTAATCTTATAAATAATCGATTTATTATGCTTATTTTTATCCCAAGGGAAAATGAGACTTCGGGATTTCAAATATATTTTTTACAAGTTGAGCGATTCGGTATCATGTGTTCCTTATTTTTATGAATTTATTCATAGCAAAATATCTTTTTTTTTGTATTAAGATTATACAAATAATGCAACATTAAACCGTTAACTTTAGTAATTAGTAAGAATTTGCATCTTTTTTTTTTATTTTTAAACTTTCAAATGAATGACACCGAGAGAAAGCCATAAATCTGTTATGATTTTATAATGGTTTTCCAAATGAATATTTTTTTTAAAAAAATCCAAACTAAGCAAATGCCAATATTTCTCATTTCGATAACGAATGCTTTATTTTAAACTTTTCATTCTAATTTATATAAACCTGCTGGACTCAAATTCAAAATTATAATAAAATAGCCACGAATCTTAATTCCAAACATTAAAATCACCCAAATATTAAACATCAAAATTTACCAAAAAGTATACTCTAATTCTTTTTTAGAGAAAATATCAAAGTTCTCTCATTTCATCTGCATTCTTCACATTATAGGATTAATTTAGTGTTGAGGATACAAGTTATGTCTAGTATGTATGGCCAGCGTTTAAAAACCAATGTTGTAGATATTAGCACATTATAAATAAAATTCTTACGATTAAAAAAAAGATTTCTTACAATGATTTGCCATTTTGAACTTGAGTTATGTATATTATCAAAACATGCAGACTATGCAAATGCTTAAAAGTTTTATTTTATTAATTATAGTAATTAAAGAAATAAAATGCATTGGTTATACAAAAAACACAACTAAAACTCAGAATCTAGTTTTATAGTCAAAAATATAACTTACAAATTTTTTTTTTTAAATGTACTGCTTTAGAATTTTGTCAATTATCCTTTTTACTATTCTTAAAGATTATCTAAATTTCTGCAATAACTTAAAAATAAGTACAGCCTTTCTTAATTTATTAAAATGAAAAAATTTACTAATAACTATTTAATTGAATGATAAACTAAACTATTTAACAATATAAAAATTATTCTATAGTGCCAGGCTAAAATACATTGATTATGTATTGTCGCGTGCCCAGTGCGACAATGTTCTGAAGGATAGAGAATCTTCTCTAACAAAAACTAACAAAAGGTTATG